CATCTTTTCCATCTATGGAATAAATCGCAAATCATAAATTTAATTTTTAAATAAATTAGTAAAATTTTTGTAAGCATTGGTATGTCCAGGCGGCGCAACCTCGAAAACGGCGTTTTTTTTTCGATCTAAGTGTAACTAAGATAAACTATTTTGATATGGACATTTGACATCCAAAAATTCGGTTAATTCAGGTATGTGTTGGGACACTTTTGTTCCATAAAATATGAAATTTTTACCTCATTCTGGAAGTTCTATGAAATTTTATTGTAAATTTTATATGGAGTATCCAAACAAATAATGCCTTGAAAATGACGTCAAAAGGGGTGAGGGGTTTCATTTTCCAATATTCTATAAAGTTTTGCCTCTTGAAAAACTGGTATACACCTAGGAAATTTTTAAACTGGCTACGGAGAATAAAATTGCATCCAGATTACTTGTTTTTTATTGCCAAAATAGATTCAGAGAGAAAAGGGATGCAAAGGTAATGTCGATTTGTAGTCAAAGTTTGAAAAATCTATCACGTCAAATAATGACATTGATCATGTGTTTTATACTATATTGAACTCAAAAAAAACAAAATATGCTGGCACAGTCAAGCGAGGATGTATCCCAGTGTAAATTTGCGATAATATACATGGTTGCACTGAGGGCTGCTGTTCATGACATTGTTAGGTCATAAAAACAAGACGGGTTGAAGTCATTACTCAGCTCTAGAGAATCTCATCAAAATAAGTATACGAGGTAGAATAAGTGCACATTGAAAAATAATGACGTTGTCGGACGTCATGAAACTAAATGGCGACGGCGCCGGGTGATCATATAATGTCGTCTTTATTTTATAATAATTTGGGGAATAATGAACGTATCAAGCTAAAATTTTCAAGATTTCTTTATTTTTTGTTGCTTTATGTTTCTTATAAATTTTGTATGCTCATACACCATAGTATTAATTTTATAGCCTCAGTCCACGAACTTTTTGATAACCCCTCGTAGATACATGTCAATTTCATAATATACAAATTTAAACCTATACAAAGGTCAACAATGAGTGATTGTTCTAGTCATTTGTACTAGTCATCTGTCATGTTACATTTATTTACCTTTTGGATGAAATGTCAACTATTGTATTCTCTGTTCTTTTTTGATTCATTGTAATGTTTCAGATCTAAACAACATCATTGTCAATGTCAAAATCACTATCATCACCAACATCAGCAATAAACTTGCATTTTTTTCTTATTGGACGAGGGCAATAGGCAGTACACAAATCAACTAAAATTTAGAAATATGATTATTATGTTTGTTGTGGTTTTGAAATGTCTTGATCAACTCGTGTGTTTTCAAATGCTTTACCATCGGAGATGTGCACAAATCGATAACCAAGCCAAAAAAAATATTTAAGTGTAACTAGTGCATTGGGGTAAATATCGTTACAATGAGACTAGGTATCTGAAAGAAATATGGCGGAATGAGGCTGTAGTCGGAATGAAACAAGTCGTACATAGATGAAAATGTTGGGTTTTTAAGAATTTCTGTCAGCTTTAACTTATGGCCTGTAAGTGGTCAATATCGCATCATTCCGATGACTTTACCGAGCGTTATGATTTGCTTATTTAGGTTTTTATGGGTCTAATACGTACTAAATTTTTAACAAATAATTTCATTTTTATGTAAAAAAAATAATAAACCCATCTTTCATAGATGCCACTTTCATTCTTTATTTTAACTCTGACAAGTCGACCAGACGACTTTTTTTGTTTACAACGGGGAGTTCAATATTGAACGCTCGTATTCTAAATGTTTTGAGCATACTCGTATACGTAATACAAACTCGTAATACGTAATACAAGCGTTCAATAAAACGTTCTGATATTGGACGCTAGAATTCTCTAGATTTTTGATAGTATTTTATAAGAGACTATTTATTAGCTATATAATAATGTCTGTTTTTGCACGCCTTCTAGCGTCAATTCAGTTAATAAATGTTGATTTTTTCATCAGTGCTCGTTGGGTTTTTATCAGTGATCGTTGGGTTTGCAAGCAAATCTGTTGAATTTGTATTAAGGTTGTCTGTGTCGTATTTCAGTATGTTTTTAAAATAAGTTGTTAGTTTTGCAGAAACGTCTTTTTTCACCCTTTCAGCCGCCCATCGAAATACTCATATTAAATCTCCTTGACAGTTAAAATGCCATATGTATATGTTTATAATTTTACTAGCATGTTTTTAGTATTTCTAATATTTAAATTGACAAAAAGTGATAATCACTTATAAGTCATTAATTGATTTTGTTCCACTATACTAAACATTTACTTTATTACCCTGTAGAGTCCATAGCTGATGCTTACTTATATATCTTACTTTAATAACTGCCCGTTTCTTACATATGTATCATAATATTTAACATCAATGACATGACTTCTTACATCAGTTTGATCAAATCATGCTAAAATTTAGACAAAAGTGGGAACCTAGAATTACATTTAACGACAAATTTCTCTACCTCGTGTATCTATCTATTCTGAATATAAATGACTTTTGAAGTACAAATGTATCATGACATGTGCTGTGTGGAATAGCATGATGTTGGAAGTGATTGTGTGGGAAGTGCTCGACCAATGACGTTTCTGAACATCATGATGAAATCATATTCATTTACTGTACACAGTCTTATACATCTACTGTACATGTAATCATGCCGGTACAGTTTGGGAGCATGCTCAGCCAATGAATGTTGATCACATGGCATTGTCCTTTTATGACACAATTCATTTTATCAAATAAACTCTGCAATATGACTAATTGACTAAAATAAATAAATTGTGTTTCTCAGAATGTCTGGCATAAGGGATTAGTAAATTGTTGAAGCCTTTATACATATAATTATGTAACTTTGACGGAAAAAGAGAACACCAGTAATTTTTAGATAGGTGATGTGTTTTTTGAATTCTTTATGGTTTCTCGTATCTTTTTTTTCTAGTGTCAAAAAGGCTATCACCTAAAGTAGAATCCATTAACCCTTTGTTAGGGATTAACTGGTTAAGTGACAGTCAATTACTAAGCGTAGATTTGGCTATTATTAATACTAATAACAAAGAAGAACTAATCTGATTGGTTAAAAATAATTTACGGCAAGCGTGGGTCTCCGAATGGAATTGTGTCCGCTCCTCGGCCATTCTATTTTGAGACGTTAATAAAGTATCGTTTTCAATTCCGTCCACGCTTTGCTTTTCCATATTACAGCGCACCCAAATCTACATTGGACCTAGTAGCTGAAAAGCAGAATCATCTTATCATAGGGTCTCTCGCAAGCCAGCGAGTTACATAATTCCCTAAATAAGTGTGACACGACAGCATGCTTCACTTCAATAACTGCCATGTTGTTTCGCTACAAAGTTTGAATCACAGCATAAGAAATAGTACTTAATATTATACCATATTCTTCAAGCTTTGCAACTGTTCTTTAAATGATTAAAATGTTAAGCAGAGATTATTATTTTCAGGAATATTTTCTGGCTATCATAATTTTATTTCCAATGCCATTGTTTTGTTGCATTTAAACTTAAAGGATGACTTGGTTCTGGTTTAATAAGACAAAGCTGCAGAAGTGTGGGATTCATACCTGATCCAAATCCACTATCATCAGACGTTCCTTTACTCATGGTAGCCTCGGAAGTTTTGGCCACATTGTTCTCAATCTCATTGGCTGCAGGTCCACCTGATGGAGAGGAGTTACTTGCCCCTAATTGTTCTTGCTTACGTGTACGAGAATCGCTGTCAATTGCAGCCTGTTGAGGAAAAATAATTGTGTCAAGGGAAATTTTCATTAAAATAACTTAATATATGCCTCACCTATTATAATATATATATATATATATATATATATATATATATATATATATATATATATATATATATATATATATATATATATATATATATATATATATATATATATATATATATATATATATATTAGGAATGGCAATTTGTAACCGGTTAACCGATTACTCGGTCGGAACGATGTCAATCGGTTAGAAAATTTGTAATCGGTTAGTCGGAAAAAATATGATTTATATAAATTTCAATCCAATTTTCTTCATGTTCTTAGACAATTCATTTTTGAAAAAAAATAAATCTTTGCATAAACGTTGATAATTCAATGTTTTCATACCGGTATATCCAAGCTTAGTTGCGTGTAATTATGGTTCTCCGGATCTAGATTGAAGTGTAATTGGTCATTTTGTGTTTGAAGTGTTAATTACTGTTTAAACACGAAGGCGATACCCCCTGACTTCCCGTTTTTCTTTAATGATAATTAAATCACCGTTAAGAACTTCTAATTTGTATGTTTGGATTTTTTGCAGTTATTCTGTCGTCTGTTGAATATATCACTAAACAAACTTTGTAAATGAAGTGATATATTTCAGACTTAGTTTTAATTATGGTGAAAACGCAGAATAAACGTATGTGAAATCTGCATTGGAAAAGTTTCAATGATTCGTGGTTTTCTGAATTTGTTCACAATCTATATTAAAACTAAAATGAAATATATAACCTTGTGTTTTTTTAAAGCAAGAATCAAGACAAATAACATCTTGACTTTATAAGTCTTCTTGTATATATATTAAATAGACTGATCTACTTAGGGAAAAAGAGTGATGTACATCAAGAAAATGCATATTTTGATGCGGTTAACCGGTTAATCGGTCGGAACGTCTTTCGATTAACCGATTAGCAATTCTGTATTCGATTGCCATCCCTAATATATATATATATATATATATATATATATATATATATATATATATATATATATATATATATATATATATATATATATATATATATATATATATATATATATATATATATATATATATATATATATATATATATATATATATATATAAAAATTAAATATTATTATACAGTTTTATAAAATAAAAACATAGTAAAAAAGACCCTGGAAAAATTATCTTAATATATAAAAGTGTCTGAAGATTTTACATATGCCAAAAAATTCAATGGTGCTGTATTTAGACTCTATCTCTTATCTATAGTTCACTTGGTCCTTGAAAAATGATTGGCTCTCCATCATTAATCATTCAGGGCCAAATGAGCTACAACTCTGCAGATTGATGCAACAGTGTAAGTAACAAAAATCTACACTTACACCAGCCCCGTCTGCCTCACTATCTTCATCATTCTGGGCCATTTCTGCGGCTCGGACAGCTTCCTGCACAAGGTCAATAAAGGCCTGCCCTTTTATTTTTAGAATGTAAGGGCATTCCATAGACCATAGTGCATGCTCAATCCATGGGTTGAATTCAGGGTCCCAGTTTCTAAGACCTAATGATATTAATTTTTTTAGGTTTCGTCAAAGGTCAACATGTCTAAAAATTATTTTTACAACAGCTCCTAAACTATATGTAGAATGAAGTCAAAACGTTTAAAGTTTTTAAATATATCATTGACTAATAGATAGCAAGTATCACTTGATAACAAATATTTTAAAAAAGTTATTTTTTAAGAAAAATTGTATCAGAAAATGGACATATTTAAAGAAAAGTGCACCAGCTTAATTCTGTCCTTTTTGTGAAAAACCTTCATTGCAGAAATATCATATGTTTATCACTGAAGGGCAAGTTGGATGTGAATGGTCTCTGAGAGGTTGTTATTGAAAGCATGACATGTATAAAGACAAGACCCCTGTAGAACCCGCCATGTGCAATGTGCTTTCGCTTTCAAGTCTTAACATTTGGACAAAATAAACAGGGAAAACAACTTTCCAGAGGCTTTTCAAGTCCAACTTGCCCTTCATTGATAAACATATTTTCTTTCTGCAATGATGGTTTTCACTAAAAGCACAGAATTAATTAGGTGCACTTTCTGAAAATATATGCATTTTTAAAAAGATTTTTTCTCAATTAAAATTTTTTTCCAAGTATTTTTTATCAAGTGATACTTTCTATCGTTAATCAATGAAAAATTTATAAACTGTAAAAGTTCCAACTTTATACCTCACATAGTTTTGGTGCTATATTGTAAAAATAAACTTTTGGACATGTTGACCTTTGAAGAAACCTTAAATGACATATTCTTTTATTAACACGTCTTTGCTTTGACAGTGACAGTATTATGAATACTAGCTAGTAAGCCGAAATTTTCTATATTTCCTTTGTTGCAAAAGGTGACTGGTGCCCATAATATAAGCATTTTTTTTTTGGTCAATCAAAATTTTAAAAATACCAAATTTTTTTTTCAAATTAAATTTCTAAGGCAACTTTTTCTTTTTTTAAATATGTATATTGTATAAATACTTATTTATGTTACCAGATAAATTTATTACGATATTTTAAACCAAGCTACTCTTTAATAGTATATATATTGTAAACAGGACTCATTACCGTTGATATAGAGAAATACCATGAAAGTAAGGAAATGTCACGGTATGACTTCTGTATTCCATTAAAAAAATTGTTTTGGTTTCTGTGAATGCATTTAAATACTTATAGAATAGGCATAACAGTCAGAGTATTAAATGTATAGGTGTGCAAGGGATCAACCGCGTTCACAGACTTTCTACATAACTATATCTAATATCTGCAAACCTTTTCATTGAAATGCAAACAGCTATGGAACAAAAATATATGAGTGAAACTGTACAAAGAAATGTTTAAATGCAAAGGTATTATACAATTAAAAAATCATTTTAGGTTCAATTTAACTTTTTCCACAAATACATGTTTCCATCTCTGTTGAACAGACTTATTTCGACTCCATACCTATTCCACAATGATAGCATCTGCAACAATCCTCGAAACCTGAAAAAATTGTGAATGATAAGTGAAATTCAATTTTGTTTAAATTCCTTCGTGTTTTCTTATTAAGCTGCTTCAACTTCTTTAATCTTTTACGGCTTTAGGACAAAGAATATCTGAATATAATTGTTTGAATCCACTATTACTCACCTGCGTAGTAAAACCCAGCGTCTGTCATATTAGCTGGATGTTGCTTCATGTGGCGAGGAAAATTAGCATAGGAGGCCAGTCTGGCGGGGCGACTAGCGTACTTCGGGTGTTTTACCACCATAGTACGTCTCGTCGTATCTGGTTGGTCCTGTCCGTCGATATAATTAGCACTAGCCAGGTGAGCCGTGTTGTTAGATGTAGAAGCATTATAGCCTGCCAGTGGACCGTCAGGTTCCACAACTCCTACCTGAGGGGCACTCTGAAGGGGAACAAGGTCTGAAAGTAAATCAAAATATTAACGCTTGGTAATTATGCCAGTTAAAATGTTCTTCATCCATTGGGGTAAAAAAAGACAACATATTCCTATTTCAAAGATCTATTTAAACTTCATTTTAATTTATTAGTATTATGGGCATGTACCCTTCATTTTCATAGGCATGCACCTACATTTTTGTTATAAGTGTTAAATTGCTGGTTAATAATAACTATTCATACATTAAAAAAAATATTAATTCTGATAAATAAAAAGATTGACGCACAGCATTCATAAGTACTGTGAGCATTGGTCAGTGCTTTAAGCCATTACCTTGTGTAGACTCTTCTCTAGGCACAGGGACATTATCATCACCACCTTGCGATAAGAATTTACAGTTTGGAGACATCCTCTGGTGAATTTCTCTGGGAGAATCATTATAATTCCAGTTTCCTTTTCGGAAATCACAAGAGAAACAGACCAGTTCGTTTCCATTTCCCTCATAGAAGAAGCCCGCCTCGGCAAGTCTCAATAGGCTTGGTCCATTAGTGTTGGGGTAGTCATGCATGGTACATAGGCGCAGGAATTCAACTGCCATGATGTCATGTTTGGAGGGTGCTTTTTCAGGTACAGAGAACGTGCTTATAATGGGCTCCAAAACAGGCTGTTGTGTTGCTGGATATGCTATTATTTCATCAGTGAAAATATCCACACGGTTTATTTCAATATTTTCTTGAACACGTTCATCAGTTGACTTTTGATTCTCACCTGTTTTCAAATCAGTTTTTATTCCAGAGCAGTCTGGTTCTCTGATTGATGAATTCCGAAAAGTAATGGAATTGGAAGCATCAGTATCACAAAAATCCAATTTTTTGCTCTGTTTCTGTTCAAAGTAATCCAATATGAATACTTTAGGGTACAATTGTTCTATAATAATACAACATTGGTTTCGGAGACTTTCCGATACATTCTTGTGTTTATCTAATCCATAAGATAACAATGCTGTCATTTTTTCAATGCAAAAATAAAAAACACAATAAATTGTTTTCCAGATTTCCAAGGCTTTCATCAGTTTGTCTATGCCTGCATTATTTAAAAATGGTTTACAGTACAACTCGTCCAATATCCGTACAGAACAGTTTTGTTTAAGATGACTCTCTGACATACTGAAGTTTCTATCAGATTGGCTGCTGGGTTGCTTGAAATTTGCGCTTTTTCTGCAAAGCAAAAATGGAAATCATAAGTACGGAAACATGTTATATATGGGCAGTTGGTCATTTATTGCTCGTTTCTAAAAGCAAAAGTGGGAAATGTTATTACATGTTTCACAATATTGAAATAATTTTCCGGGGCATTTCGCAATGTTTCATTGCCTGCAATATATTGAAAATATTCCCTGCACGACAAAATTCAAAATTCCTAAAATGCAAATGCTTTGTCATAACAAAAGGCCTCAAGGCTTGACGGTCACCCGGTACAATACAACAATTTAGAGGACCCATATATTGATAAAAGAGGCTTCATTGCTAGAGGCAAGACAAATAATACGATTCGAATCACCAAAAATGATGTAACATCTATCTGTCACCGAAGACTGAAGAGATGTTGCTGGTAAACTAACAATAAAGCTTTAATAGGGATGATAAAAAAGTTCACGAACTAATTGAATAACTTTCATAAAAGAAACAATATTATTTTTCATTACTGAATAAATTTTAAAATAGTCCTGTCCGATTTTAATGCACATCTGCCATCGTTCTGCTCATGCGTGAATCACGTGATATAGGCGGTTACGTGAACCCCTCCGTTGCGTTTTGTCACAAAAGCTTAAGGTTTTTTGAGTTTTATATTTCTTTCAATATACGTTAATTTTTATGACAAGACATTTGGTCAAACGGTCAGTGGTCAAATCTCGGCAACAGAATGGGTTGATAAGAATATCCTTTCCAAAAAATAAGCAAAGCGACTATTCAAACCCAAATCTTCTGTCTCGGGAGAGTCGTTTATCCATAGATAGAAAATGGGTGCCTTTTTTTATTACATCTATTATGTTTAAAATCTGAAGTAAACGATATATTAGGTGTTTAATTATTATATTATTGTTCATATATATTCAATTATTTTTCAAAGTGTAAATCGGAGGTCTTTGATAACGAATTGCTTAATTAAAACATATCTCTTTTCAAACTTGCTTTCACTGGGCAACATAAGTATTATTGTTAACCATCTACCTTCCTTCACTGAAACGATCAATCCATTCATTGATTGACTTAATTAAACGTCTTTTGACGTACAAATTACTATACGCTGCTGCAAAAGAATTTCAAAGATATACCATAACTTTAACAGTCGTTCGTTGAAAGAGTAAGACTGAGACAGCAATTTTTTGTCACAAGTGATCTACACAGTGATAGCATTTTCACATTGTGACGTCACAAACAAGTAGCATAAACTTCATTCAGCATATGCTATTTATAGAACATGTGTGCGGATATGTGTCTCCCTAACTTTTTTTTTCTAATCTGAATTGTGGTTTTGTAGATTTAGAGATAAATCGCGAAATTTTTTATCACCCCTCGTATAATAGGACATTGACTTTTTCATCGTCAACAATTTCTAATTTATGCAATAGATATATACCGAATAGAGTTCTGTATTTAAAAAATACCGGACAGTTTGAGGCCCGTTAGGGCAAAGGTGTTAAAGACCACGGAAGCAAATCTTTCAAAAATGCAGGCTTAAGTGAAAAGTTCTCAGTATGTAGGGATTTGGCTACACTGAAGAAGGTATTTGAAATAATATGATAAGGAAAGTAGGGACAAATTTTTTCTTCATTAAAACATGTTACACGGAGATTAAAGCAGTGCAACGAATTATCATATAGACAATCTATTCTAATGAGTGACGAATTTGAAATGAAATTGAAAATGCAGATCTGAAGAATATCCACAGAAAATTAAGCAGATACTAAAGGTACACTAGTCAATTTCATTTTTTATGCTACGCGTCTACATATACCTTTAGTTTTGATGTTCCATTAAAGAACCAGAAGTCTCTGTCAAGGCTGAAACTCTAATGTTTGTACTTATAGCAAAGGAAGAGAAAAGTAGCAGTTGGGAATTGAAACTTTACAACAGCCATAAATATAATAATGATACTTGATTAAGTCTCTTTATGTTTCTAGTGTAGTCTTATTGTATGCCACATTAAATTATAATCAGACTGAATTAAGGTAGGATTCTTCTCTGGTTTCTGACTAGATGAAACATTCTAAGTTTATTTGCTTTTATGTCTTATATATTGAGGTGTAAGGAATGTAAAAGGCCATATTTTTCTTTCCTCATAACAATTTTACAACTTTAAATAGAAATGGTAAACTGCGTTTGAAAACTAGCAGGGACTATATTTTTGGCGGAATGGTGGCGTATGAAAATATCTTCTTTTCTGCATCTCAAAATTATAATAGAACGATGAATTTAGTTATAATTTTTACACAATCGAAGACTTGGAGAAATTTTCAAATGTAAGTTAAATTAATAATGAGGGACTAAACTTTCAAAATATATCAAATAAATATGATTTTTCAAACAAACTAGAACTTTATTAGACTTTAAACGCTTCCTATCAAAGTGCAGATTTGAGCCAAAAATCCAGAAAAAATATTTTTTCTCTCTTAGCAAACGATCAAACCTTTTTGTTTTTGTATCATTTCGTACATTTATAAAACTACTTTATTATATGTGAAAATAAGAAAAAGTTAAATATAGGAAGTATATGAAAATAACTAATATATCCTAAAAAAAATAAGAAAAACAGAGAAAATTCGGATTAGCCAATATCCAGTTAAGTTAAATTATTTATGTAAATTTGGTAATGTCATGCTATAGACCCGATATAGTAATATGTTTTTATGCAAAAAGAACAATCATTAAATTTTTGAAATAGAAGTAAGTATCACATGATTGGCAACAGTTATTTTTTATTCTTAATTTCAAGGAAAAAGATAATGACCTTGACCTGACCTTGCCTCTAATATAAAACTGTCAAATTTAATTTCACTGATATTATCACTTACTGATATTGTCTTCTTGATTCTGTAAAAATTTCATTAATTTTTAATTATTAGAAATATGAGAAGAATCCTACCTTAACCAAGGCAATAATGTTCATCGAAATAAAAAAAATGATAGACAGAATTGTGTATCTTAGTGTAGTATACTTCTGCGCAAAATTAAAATCAAAAACTGATATATACTGATTTGTGTATCTTAGTGTAGTCTACTTGTGTGCCAAATTATATTGAAAACAGACCAACACTGTAGCAGGAGTAGCATTTTGAAACAATTTCACAGAAATTTCTATTTTCAGTAACCACGGCAACACGGTCATCGAAATCAAAAACCAATACACAGAATTATGTATTTTATTGTAATCCACTTGTGTGCCAATTTATATTAAAAACAGACCAACACTGTAGCAGGAGTAACATTTTGAAACAATTTCAAATATTTTTTTTTAATTCTTAGCAACCACGGCAACACCGTTCATCGAAATCAAAAACCAATATACAGAACTGAAATTAATAAATTTCAAGTTATATTGAAACGAGTCCAAAAACAGTAGGTGGAGTAGCAATTTAAAAGAATTTCACACAAATTTTAATTTTTAGAAACCACGGCAACACCATTCATCGAAATCATAAACTGATAAGTAGAATTTTGTATCTTAGTGTAATCTACTAGTGTGCAAAGTTATTTAGAAATCAAAGCAAAAGTGTAGGAGGAGTAGCATATTGAATGTTTTTCTTGGAAATTTTTATTTAAGTAACCACAGCAACAACTTTCATCGAAATCTAACACTGATATCTAGAATTATGTATCTTAGTGTAGTCTACCTATGTGCCAATTTATTTTCGAATCCGAACAAAACTGTAGGAGGAGTAGCATTTTGAAACAATTTCACAAAAAATTCTATTTTTAGTAACCACGGCAACAATGTTCATCGAAATCAAAAACTGATAAACAGAATTATGTATCTTAATGTAATTGACTTGTGTGCAAAGTTAAAATGAAATGAGTCCAAAACTAGGAGGAGTAGCATTTTAAAAGATTTTCACAGAACTTTTTATTTTTAGTAACAACAGCAACATCGTTAATCGAAATCAAAAACCAATATACAGAATTCTGTATCTTAGTGTAATCTACTTGAGTGCCAATTTATATTATTATCTGACCAAACAGTAGGAGGAGTAGCATTTTGAATGTTTTTCTTGGAAATTTCTATTTTAGTAACTACAGCAACGCCGTTCATCTAAATCAAAAACTGATATCTAGAATTATGTATCTTAGGGTAGTCTACCTATGTGCAATTTATATTCGAATCGGACCAAAACTGCAGGAGGAGTAGCATTTTGAAACAATTTCACAAAAATTTCCATTTTTAGTAACAACGGCAACAATATATATCGAAATCAAAAACTGATAAACAGAATTATGTATCTTAGTATAATTTACTTGTGTGCAAAGTTGAAATGAAATGAGTCCAAAACTATAGGAGGAGTAGCATTTTAAAAGAATTTCACAGAATTTTTTTATTTTTAGTAACAACAGCAA